TGCAATTGGGCAGTCAGAGATGTCCCATGCATGGCTCATGCGCAGGCCTGCTGCTGCTGCCATGGACTCGGTGCAGAGGACGTGCATGGGTCGCATCTTCGGTTTCTGAGGATGGGCGGATGTACGTGCCGGTGAGAGTCTCAGTTCACTCCCAGCTCGAACTCGGGCTGAGCATTGAGCTGGCAAGGTCATGGCGCCCATCATTGTGGGCGGGCAATGCCGCAGACCCAGACTGTTCAGCTTCACGGCCAAAGCCTGCTTCTGGGCCAGGGACAAGGCGAAGGTAGCTTGTTGACTTTTGATCATGCTCGCTGTGCTCGCTGAGGCGGCTTGCAACAAGGTCTTGAGCTTAGCATCGAGGCATTGATCACGCTGGACACGTGGAGGTGTTTTCATGCCCGTGTACCGAGTGCCTGGAACTTAGCGCCAATCAGTGTGGGAATGAGATACCCCGGACGAGTTTGCATTTTGCTCCATTTGGGCAGGGCCAGCTTTTATCCTGGCGTTCAACAGCCGGCTCCAGACCAGGGTTCCAGGCAGGCAAAGAGCACAAGCCGCAGAAAGCAGCTTGCTAAGTCATTTTCAAAGCAGGCAACAACCTATTACTCGTTTTGTACCAACTGTTTTGTACCGCGATTTCCAGGCAAGTATCGAGTGTCGTGGTGCTCAATGATTTGTTCAAGGCTGGATTTGTTGAATTGTCGCTCCTACCTCTGTCGTGACAGGCTTGGACAGGTGCACCACGTGCGGTTGGCCTGCAGAAAGCGGTTCAGGCTGGAGTGCCAAAGCTCAAGCTGGGACTCCGAGAGATGAAGAGGCAAGTGTGAGTGTGTTTTCTCCATCCAGGCTCCCAGAATACAGGGAAAAGCACGCCAACCTGCATCCAGCAACTTGGATTCGTGCCATGATTCAGAGACTCACAGGCGTGAAACGTTTGTGAGGTCAGGACAAGAAGCCAGCCGAGCGGACCCAGGAGGCTTCTGAGGCCCAGGAGGTCTGTCCATCCGAGAAGGTGGGGCGACGGAGAGAACGGAGTGGCTGAGAAACGCTGAGAGAGCGCTTCAGAGCGCAGGGAAGTGGTGCGGCTGGCAGCGATGACAGCACGCGCGCATCAGACAGCGAGGCAGGGTCAAGTGCAAGTCCCCAAAAGACGAGGGCTTGAGCTCAGTCACGGAAGGAGTTCTTCCCGGTGCGCAAGCAGAAGGGAAAGAAGGCGAGCGCCGTTTGCACCGAGCCGTTTCTGCGCTGAGAAACTCTCTTCCAGGCCCCGCGGAAGGCTCGTGACTGCAGGCCGAGCGCTCGCGTTCACTTCTTTCACGGTTCCGAAGCTTTGGTTCAACGCAGCTCGGAATCTGAGGCCAACGCAGTCGGAGAAGGCGCGCGGTCTGAAGGCCTTGGACTCTTCGGCTCGGTTTAAGAGTCCGAGGCGCCGGACCAACCTTTCGCAACAGCGCTGGCCTTGAATTTGGATGCGCCGTCAAGGCGCGGAAGACAACAGCGAGTCTCGCTGGCATGGGGCGGCATGCAGTGTGCCGATATGCCAGGCGTGAAAGCTGGCCATTTTTGACAGACAAGCCAAAGATTCAGTCAAGATCGCAAGGGCCTTAGCGGCTTAGGAAGTTCTTTGTGAAATTGCTTATGCATGCTTGCCATGCATCGTGCTGGGCGATGGCCTCTCCGAGGTAACATCTCCGAGGTCGTGCTTTTTTGTGCAATCATATCAACTGTTGTGATAGAACATCAGGAGACAGACGCTGAGCAATTTCATTGGCCGGTTTTGGCAATTTGCATCCATGGCATAAGCTGTGGCTCCTGGCCGTTTCTTCGTATTCTCACTTTGCATCGATGCAATGCAGGACAGTCGGGGATTGTGTCTTTCTCAGGGGAACACCGCTACCAGTAGACAACGAGCCGTGCCACAAGAGACAACCCCTGGCCCTGCGAAAGTTTTAGAGCTGCTTCGGCAGCTAAAGTTCAAGCGGGGTTCTGCTATGCACCCTGCTGAAAGCACTGATGTTAATTCGAAGCTGTGAGATTGTTTTTCTTTGACCCCTTCCATGCGATTTTGCCGTGGATTGAAATTAGCTCCCTGGAACACCGTTGCTAGGACGGCTTTTCCATGTCAATCTTGGCGCATGCCCATGTTTTTTAGCTTGCGATTTTCGTGATTGGTCTTGTCATCCTACAGAGGCTTAAGTAGTGAGATCCACAGATTAAGATCATCAGTCACAATGCGAGAACTGTCTCCTTTACGCGTTTTTTTTTTTTTTTTTTTTTTTCTCTCGAATGCCGGCTGCCTCTCCCCAGAGGGGTGCATGCCATGCGTGGGCACCATGATGCTGATGCCTCAGGAGAGCAACGCATTCTGACTCTTGCATTGAGTCACCGCGATTTGAGTCTTGTCACTTAAACGCCACACCCGCAAAAAGAAAAGCACCGAGTCTCGCGTTAGGAAGGCCGGCCAGGGCTTCCAGCCATTCCGGCAACTCAGCGATGCTCGGCTGTCAATAGATGTAAGGCAGTGCCATGTCTCCACGCCCTCCATGCCCTCCACGCCCTCCACGCCCTCCACGCCTCGCAGGCCCAAGGCCGCTGGCCGCTGCCCAAAGTGCCCAGAGCGGGCGCCCGTAGGTCGCTCAGAGTGAGCCAATGCCAATTGTGACAAGTGGGCCAGTAAGAGGCTGATTCGAGGCGAAGCAGCGCCCGCTCGGGCCAGGCGTCGGCGCCCGGCAGTGGGCCCCGGATCCCTCCAGGCGCAGCTCTCTTCGCGTGCCGTGAGACGCGTGAGCCGCGTGAGCCGCGTGAGCCGCGTGCCGCTCTTTCACAGGCGGGGATGGTGCTTCCAGAAGCAGAAGTCCGGAGGCCGGCTGCTAAAGCTTCCGGAAGCCCAAACTTGGGAATCATTGCCCGACGCCGAAGGTGTCTTTGCTCCCCGTGCAGGACCCCGCGCCCGCACTAATGCGCTCTCTTATTGCAGTGCCTGTGTCAGGAGTTGACAGAAAGCATCGTCACTTGCATGGAGACATCACAGATCAGCCAGATGCGAGGGTTTGAACAACATGGTGCAAGGCGAGGCGGGCATTGTCGCGTTGCAACCCGCTCTAAAGGGGAGCTGTGGGAAGGCTTAACCCCCTGGTAAAACAGAGCCGTGCGCCGCTACCGTCAGCTGGGGGCGCAACTTGACCAAAAAGGAGCAAATGGCAAAAGACAGAGAGCTGCCGCATGCGCGTGTGCGTGTGCGTGTGCGTGTGCGTGTGCGTGTGCGTGTGCGTGTGCGTGTGCGCGTGCGTGTGCGTGTGCGTGTGCGTGTGCGTGTGCCTGTGCGTGCGTGTGCGTGCGTGCGTGCGTGCGTGCGTGCGTGGGTGCGTGCGTGCGTGCGTGCGTGCGTGCGTGCGTGCGTGCGTGCGTGCGTGCGTGCGTGCGGGTGTGTGTGTGTGTGTGTGTGTGTGTGTGTGCGATCAAGGGATGCATGGCAAACCAGCATCGCTGGGGAAATAAATGGTCTCCTGCCCCACGTCCAAATCTGAGTGCTTGCTGCCGCCCCCCGTCTGCGTTGCAGCTGCTTTTCGCCAACGCCGGCCTTTGCTTTGTGCGGGCAGTGTGTCGTCCTGCTGCTTCTGCGGTTCGCTGCGCTGGAGCTGAGTTTGCGCATGTGTGATTGCTTGCGTATGTTGGCTAAACTTGACCCAGCAAACTGTGCTCGGGCAGAGTACCTGCCTGGTCTGGCACCTTATCTTGGGTGATGGGGCCATGGTTCTAATGTGATGATGCTTTGCAGCTCCATTGCAGATACTTGCAAGTCCTGGCTGCCTTTGTGCAGCTTCTTTCCTCTCTGACGTAGTTGGATTTGTCGACTGGCGACTATGCTGTAGGCGACTCGGGGAAAACGTTGCATTGGGCATTTTGTGCCTTTCACCCGAATTCCTGACTTACCGACTCTCTGATTGCCTTTGGCTTTGCTTTTCACCTTTTTCGGCCGGTAACACCCACGTTTCCGGTCGGCTGTTGTTATCTCGCGGTTCTTCCAGTGCGGAACTGATGAATTTACAAGTTGGCTTCCCACACCAGCTGTTGTCCGCACTGGCAGGCATGAAGTTGCGCCTCGGGCGGCTTCGTCCTCCGATGCCTTCTTGATGGTTCTCCAACAATTGGTGGATCCACGTCAGAGATGCAGCACGTACGTTCGGCACGGAGAACGACGTGACGCAGCCGATCTTGATGAAGTTCGAGAGGGACCTCTACGTAAGACTGCACGGACAACCTCCTGATGGTCGCAGGCGTATGAAGGCTAAGTGATACGGCCTGACCCAAGCACACCCGGCGGAGCGATCTTGGCGGTGCAGTTCTGTCTAAGGCGGAAACGTTTCAGTTCAGGTCGATGCTTGGGAAGCTTTATATACATTGGAGGTGCGAGTACGTGGCGATGGTCTCCGGGTGTAGCGAAGGACTTTTTCTTCGACATGTGTGGTTTCTTATCCGGGGCCACACACTCCGGGTCACGGCAGGCAACGGGCACTGTATATTCCACGAAGGGTGGTAGGGCGCTTCCACATGCTGTGGATATGAAGGCAGCATGTCAGAATAAGGGATCAATACAGTCGTATCCGCAGCATGAGAATCATGAAGGCATGGATGCATTTAGGCTCCAGTTTGCGCAGTCAAAAGGAGCGCGCTCGCTCGACGATTTCACTACGCACCAGATGTACAAGGCTTGGCAGGCCATTGGCCTTGACATCAGTGAGTGGGTGGGTGAATCCAATGAGAAATGTTCCGGAGATGAAGAGTGAGAACACCAAAAGAAAACCGGAAGCCGCGACATGGCCCACTTCCTCAAACGACCAAAAGCCCTTGTATAGCAGAATGGGCTTCTGTAGAAGGAGGCATCAGGTAAATGCAGTATCTCCATTTGCTTGAAACCTTAAGCACAGCTTTGCGCAGAATGGGAGCCCGGAGCCCGGCCCACCTTTGAAAGCTGCTGATTCCTACCGCGCCATGGTGCAATGGCTGCCCTAGCGCTGCGTGAGCTGCGCTTGCAGAGCTTCAAGCGGGCCCGGCGCTCAGCTGGGTTTTTGGACTGGGCGTTGAGAGCTTTTCCTGGGCTTGGAGGGATAGGGGCTTGTCCTGATTGGTAGAATCACAGGGCCAGTGGGGCAGGACAATGGAAAAGGAATTCCGAAAAGGAAACCATCACCATAACACTCATAAGCTGAATTCTACGGCGCATTTGGCGTGCCCAGAATCAGGTTCCAGTGGACGCAACATTTTTTCCGCGCAGACGCCTATGCCCGATTAGAACTCAGGATTTTTGCTCTGGTAGATTCATAAGGTGTCCCACAAAATCCGTTCAAGCTTCGACAAATCCCTACACTTCTCCGTGGACGCGCCTGTAGCTCGTTTGACGGGAAGGCAAAGGTTTTCCTTCACAACCGGAAGCTTCTGGGTTCCCTGAAGGCTTGGACACTCTTCTGGTGAAACAAAGGTACCTTGCTGAGATGTTCGGTTGTGATGCAGTTTCGTAGAGAAACCCGTTTGTTCTACTTGGTGTTCCAAATCTAGGAAACCCTCATGGTGTACCTAAGCTCATCCGATCAAAAGGGGTTCGACAGAAGTAGACCTCGGGGAATCTGTCCGTTGAGGTCTACCGCCTGGGCACTTCGGAGCTCTGCGGGGCCCTGCAGGAAGCCGCGAGGCGGCGCATCAACAACCGCCAGGCGTCCAGCCGGTCGCGTGACGACGGTCGGCTCAGTGGGCTGTGGGCGAAATGGAGGAATGGAGCTGAGTGTGAAAAATAGCCTTTATCTCACTAACACACTAAGATGGCACCTGGAGGGTACCTGTAAAACCAGTTTCTTCTTGGAGGGACCCCCTAGGTGCCATGTTAGTCAGAGGGAGGATAGGTGGGAAGCCTTTTGGCTGTTCATTTCTGGAACCAACCTGAAAAGGGTACCAAAAGTGTTGATTTCAACTGAGGCTAGATGCCGGCCTATCTGGCATGGAGCGGCTTTCCTGGGAGAAACGATCATTTCTCAGCAACCCGCAGTTCGCCCCAGTCAACCTGCGAGTTACCCCAGTCAACCCTCCAGTCAGGCCGCAGTCATCCCTCCAGTGAACCGACCTCAGCAGGCCCCATTCTTTTTGGCAAGCTCCTAGCGGTGTGGGTTCCATGTAGGGGCAAACCAAATCTTAGATGGCACGCCCTTGAGCCATGGACCTTAAGAATGGACCCTTGAAAAGCGGCGGAGCCTTGCAAGATTTGGGAACCCTTGACTCATGGACCCCTCTTCAAAGTTGGGCCCTTCAAAATGGAGCCGAAATGACGCAAATCAAGCTTAACCCCAACAGCCCTGCAAGATTTGTCTCCCTTGATGGGGACATCCCTCATCCAATTTGTCCCAATTTGCCCAATGACGCATCAACCTTGACGCATCCCTCTTCAAAGTTGGTCGCATCCCTCTTCGCCCTGAAGCGCGAGACCCGCGGGCATCGCCAGGTCTGGGACGCGCTGCTCTACCGCGCCACCTTGCTGCGGGGGGAGTTCCGGCCCAAGGATCTGGCGCTGACCCTGGACTCGCTGGCCGGGGCCTCGACATGGCCAGCCGCGTTTCTGGTGGCCATGGGTTGCATTCCAGTGAACATCCCAACCCAACCACAAAAAATATAGGTTCTAAAATGGGCGGTGAATTCACCTACCCCAAAATGGTACCATTGATTTTGACCCACAGCCAAGTGGCTCCATATTGGGGTGGATGAACATCCATTTGATTGCCACCCATTTTGAGGTTGATCGGGGGTTTTGTTGGGTTTTGGACCCCAACAAGGGTCATTTCGAAATTCGTGTCCATATTGTACATCGAGTCTTGCAGGGGTCCCACCATCAGCTGGAGAGGGGCATACGGACGACTAGTCCCAAAAGGACATTTTTCTTGGACCCAACAAGGTTGTTTCGAAATTCGTGTCCATACTGTACATTGAGTTTGGCAGGGTTCCCAACATTTCCGTAAGTCAAACATCACCTTGTGGTCCTTTGAAAGGGAAACCAAAGGGAAGACCAAAGCCCATGGCACCCCCGGATTCTAACACACCCCCGATCTTGCCATCTGGGTATGGCTCAAAATGAAACAGGAGGGACAAACCGCAGGTTTTGGTCCATGTTTCCTACCGGGGTTCCGTTTTGGTACCGGTTTTTGGAGCCGAAGCCATCTCATCCCAAGACATACCGCTAATCTTTCTCTCAGCTGTATTGGCCCAACTTATGAGCCTTGCGTCGATGCCCCTTTGCGGCTTGCAGCTTGGCAAGCAGATGGTGCCTCAGAAATGGCGCGTCCTGTCCGTTTGCAAGGTCACGTATCGCCTGACATGGCGTATTATGGCGGGGGCTTTCCTTCGCCACAAATGTCACCGCAGATGGGTATGCCCATGGGTATGCCCATGGGTATGCCCATGGGTATGCCCATGGGTGCACCACCACAGATGGCAATGGCGCATTTGCAAAACGTCGCCTGGCACGCGGTCAGATCATGGCTTTCCGCAAGTGCGTTTTTTTCTTTCTCCTTTTTTCCGCAATGCACCTGAGACCAGATTTGCCGGCTTTTGAAGTGGAGCTGAGGTGACGCATGCGAGCATCAAAGAGGAGGTGCGCTTTGTGGAGGCCATCACTGCTGCGCTAGGGCAAGAGATTGAAATGGCCAACAAGTGCTCCACTGAGTGATGTGTGTTGACTCTAGACCCATCACTTGATTGATGGACAATCTCAAATGCAGCCACCAGAGGTACAAGATTCTTGACAGCAAAACCGATCCTTGGCTGCAACGTGATCTGCCGATGAGTCTTTCACATGAAACAAGCACAGAGACAGAGACGCAATGAGCTGACATTCTTTGCATATGGCTGTGGCTCAAAAAACCGGCACCAAAATCAACCCTGGTAAGTGGACACGGGTACCAAATCCTGCGGTTTGCCCTTCTTGTTTACTTCTGAGCCACACCCATTTGCTTTGGATCCTTTTGGTGTGGTCGTTGGAGAGCGGGACTCTGGACGAGGGTGGCGACATTTTCTATGCGGTGGAAAGCACTGATTGCCTGAGTCGGCAGATCAAGCAATGCTGCCCTGATTGCGCGCCATGGAATGTTGAAATGTTGCTTCTTGGCTCCAAATACAAATGGCCATGGGTCAAAACCAATGGTACCATTTTGGGACGGATGAACACCCATGTATTTTGCTGTTCAGGGGTGCAGGGTTTTGACCCACAGCCAAATTTTGCTGTGGGATCTTTATTCTGTTTCTTCGCATTCGGCAAAGCATGTTGCCATGTTACCTGAGGTACGCGAACGCCCCGGCTTTTAAGCTCGAAAAGCCGTGGACTGCTACATGTTGCTTGGAATCATAGTGCTTTTGTTGAGCTTCTTGCTCATGAGTTGCGCTACGCACTGCATCGAGGTTGCTGTTTCAATCGCCCTATTGTGAGCGTCACAGACATGGCCGGGGTTCCAGTCGGCCACGTGGTGGACCCGTTCACCTGTTGCAATTTGGTCTTTCATGCGAAGGACCGGTTTCTTATGAGAGTCAGACCAAGTTATTTGCCCCAAGAGTGCGGTTCACAGAGAATTGCAATTCAATATACGTATTCCTGAATGATCACTTCTAATTCGGTCCTTAGAGAGCGTGATTGTTGCTGATTGTGGCACGACATGAGCATCTGGAAACAACACTACTTTGTTTGGGGAGGTTCTTTTGACTCCCCCACAGCAGACATGGAGCAGGGTGGCCAGCTAATTTCATTTCGACTCCTCTTGCTTGCCAAGTCTTCCAATACGAGTGTTGAATGGTATAAGGTGTGGCATCCTTTTCCAAGCGAGACAACGGTGGTGTGCAAAGGGATCTAAGATGCTGAATTGTAGGTTTCGGGGTTTGACACGTTAGCCTGATTTGCTTCTTTCGGAGTGCTCCCTTCGGGTGCTTGTGGCGCGGAAAGGACTACGAAGATAGAGACATTGTGACCATCGATGGCGGATGCTGCCAACTCGGTCTTTGTTGCCCCTTCCCTTGTGGGCCGTGTTCGAGAGTGACTTTTGCCATCAAGAGCCTTGGTTCGAGTACCTCTTGTCTCTGAAACTTGGGCAGCGCTTTTGTCCATCTTTGCAGGGATGGGCAGTAAGGACTCCTGATGGGCGAGAGATTGGGGAGATCGTCAAGAAGATTTCTTGCTGCAAGTGGCTTGCAGCTCCTGATGTAGACAACTACCATATCGAGTTTGGGGAGGCGCACACCTGAGCCCACAATCAAAACCCGGGTAGATGAAGGCTAGTAAGGGGCAGTCCCAGCCAGAGATAGTTGCGGATATCCATCCGCCTTCTTAATTCTTGAAGCATGGTTCTGGGATTTCGACCATTTTAATACCGGGTTTTGATTGTGACTCACCTCAAGTGGATCAACGCGTTTGCATTCTTGCATTTTTTCATGCCAACAAGTTGGACCTGGCCGTATGCGCGCATGCAGGTGGGCCATCCTGCGGCAAAGCTCATGGTGATGGCAGTGGCGATCTTCATGGAGACTTGGCTCGCAAAGTGAGCCCGGCAAAATGGCTGTGGCTCAAAAACATGTACCAACATGGCACCTTGGTAGATCGGACCAAAGACTAAAACCTGCGTAACCCTGCTCTTTAATTCTGAGCCCCTTGCAAAATGGTTTGACTCGGACCTGGCCATGGACTTGGGGGGAAGCAGCGACTGAGCCATGAGTGTGAAGTTGGGATTGCTCCGGAATGGACGATACTGCTCAGGGGTGTTTCCACTTTTGGAGGGATTCAACTCGGATCAGTTTGGTCGTTACCCGAAGTGCAGCACGGCGTTGAGTGACAGGGGGTTTTCACCCTTTTCCTCTTCTTCTGGGAGGCCGAACGGAGGCGTGTACCTGCTCTTTTTGCGCTCTTGCGTGTTCTGCTCTCCCAACCCTGTCGCTCTCAGTTCCCACTCTGGCTTCGGACACCTTCTTGGGCTTCCCTCGTTTTATCCTGAGGCATCAAACATCCAGCAAAAGGTTTCAAGAGCCCCTCTCAAATTTTCGGATCTGACTCTAGGACTTCAAGTACTTCAACGAGAACTCGCGCGACGATGACGGCGGCCTTATCGGAGCCATCACCGACACAGAATGAGCCGTGCACGAAGGTTGATTGCTCAAAAGCGGCAAGAAAAAGTCAAGCTTTGTCAACCCAGCGCGCTTGTGGATGTGAGCTTCGGTCAAAAATCCAGGAATGGGGGGGGGATTGACATGGAGGGCTCTCTAAGTTTTTCCAAGAAAGCAAGGGGACTCCCGGATTTCTCCTTCGTGGCAAACGACGTAAATTTTGACCGTGGCGGTGGGTGCAAGACGGCTCAGTAGTCTGCATACATTTAGCAGAGTCGAGTTGGTTGCGCCAAGGCCCGCATCAGGTACAAGGACTCGGCAGTATTAGACTACCTCCTCCAGGAGGCAATGCATTTGAGGTCGAAACGCCCTTAGGCTGCGGCCAAAAGGCCCTTTGAAAGGGAGAGGAAAGAGAGGCATAAGGATGTCCGGACAGATACCTATGATCAGGACCGTAACGATACCTATGATCAGGACCGTAACGAGGTTTTGGCCGGGCCCAGTTTGCAGGTTCGAAACAAGGCTCGGCGCTTCCTGGTTCGCGATGCCTCTCTGCTGCTGATGCTCGTCAGCGATCTCGATTTTTGAGCGTCTCGCAGGTGTTCCAAGACGGAGGGGCGGGTCAACAGCCGAAGGTTGACCCCATAACAAAGCGAGCCAAGTTCATAAGGGGAGTGTTCGGCTGGGTTTGGCTGGGAATCACGATTCCCCCCGATGAAAAACAACTGGGGTTTGTTGTTCATATCGGGTCAACATTCCTTGTCTCAGTTCCAGTTTTGGAGCCAAGCCTCGACTTTTGTTCAGCACGGTCCTCAGTGATATGCACCCGGGGAACCTGGTAAATGGAAACAAGGACTAAAACCTGCAGTCCGATGTTTGGTGGTTTAATTTGGACCCATACCCATTTGGAAGATAGCCCTTCCGTGTGGATCCGAAAGAAACTATTCATTTTTGGTCGTCTTAGGGATGCTTTCAGTTCCCTTGACTGCCAATATGTTTTGGCTAGTCTACGGTTTGGGGAGGGCATGGGGGCAAAAACCGGAGTGGACATTCCATTTTCCCATAGAGAGAGAGGTTTGTTTCCCCCACACGAAAAAAGAAGTACATTTCCGGTTGATCATAGAACTTTACACCAACCTGAAAAGGGGTATTCTGAAAAGTCCCACTGTTTGGAGTTGCTTCAAGGTGGACTTGGACGTTAGCTTCGGGACAGCTTGGGGCAAAGGATGAGCCGCGCCGCAATCAAGGCCCAAGGAAGTGAAGGTTAGTACCGATTCTTTACATGGGTTTTGGGCAGACCACTTCACTAACAAGTTTATGACTACGGCTCTGTGGCTTGAGCTTGATATAAAGTCATTGCCACCCCGACCAGTTTTTGGTGAGGCAAGACCCCCGGCCCTACTGGGACTGTCTACGTCTATGTCAGATGGGGCACTTTCTTAAAAACGACCAAGCACGAGCGGCCGAATGTCAGCGCTGGTGCCCCCTTGTGCCTTCCATTCGAAGTTATTTTTGAAGGGTGTGCATGCGGGGCGGCCGATCCATCCTTTCCTCAGGGATCTCTGTGGTGGTTGAGGGGAGGTGATTTCGACGGGCCATCTCCGTTTCCATCTTTCCTTTGGCGAAGACTCGAACAATGGAATCTTCCGGGGAGTGAAGACCCTTTAGAGTAACATTGGCAAACCATGGGACTCCCCAAACTATGGAACCCCCATACCGGATGGCCATACCAACAGAGACCCAACGGCGACACCCCAGCACCTCCTCCCGCGCGATCCCAGGAACGCCTTGGCCAAGTTCGGGCTGCGCGACGAGCTGCTGCTGCGGAGCTTGCTGCCTCCGCTGCTGCGGCGGATCACGGAGCAGTCCAAGCAAGAGGACGTTGAAAGAGGGGGAAGCTCCCTGTGGACTGGGCTAAAGGGGTGAACAAGCCTTGCCGCTGGAAGTTCTCAACTGTTTGCGGGATTGCTGAGGACAGCTTAAAACAAGAAAGGTCCAGCCTCATAGGTGTCCTTTTTGGTCGAAAAATAGCATGGGGTTTCCCTGGTGGTTTAATCATCTACTAGGGTAACCCATGTATTTCCCCTAAAGGACACCTATGTGAAAGAGGGGAAGCTGCCCGGAGCCGAATTTGGTTGGTGCGGACAGTCTTGGGTCTGAGGCTTTGACACTTTTTCTTTTGGATGGTTTGGGTGAATGCAGCGTGGAGGACAAAAAACACTAGTTGAGCCACAATCAAAACCCGGTAGATGAAGGATTGTAAGGGACAATCCCAAGCAGAAACAGCTGCGGCCGCCTTCTTACTTCTTTACATGGTTTTGGGTAGACCATTTTAATACCGGGCGTTGATTATGACTCAGTTGGGAGTGGTGCATGGTTTGTCCATCATGAGGTGCGAAAAGGGCCAGAAGCCTCATTATTGTAGTTTTGTTGTTTGTGAGGCTTTGGAAGGTTTCTGGGTTTGGGTGTCTTCCTTTCTGGCTGCCACCTGCCACACCTGCAACACAACAGACATTAACCACTACAGCCACCATAGGCTGAACCCTACACAACCTTGGCAAGCTTAACAGGCTCAACAACCTTAACAACAAGGTAGAGTTCGTCTTTCGCTCCCATGTCATACACTGCCAAAAATGGTTCAGAGCAGAGGTTCGACCAGAGAAAAGACGCGCACAAAGTGCTGCAGCGCTGAGCGGGTGTAGGGTGTACTTACCATTTGGCAGGCGTGTGTGTAGCACTGCGCAGGTGCACTTGAGCGGGTGTGCTTGCCGTTTGGCAGGTGTGTGTGTGTGTGAAGTGCTGAGTTGGCGCTGTTGCGCGGTTTCCATTTAGCAGGTGTGTACGTGTGTGCGCGCGCAGTGCTGAGCGGGCGCTTGCGCGGGTGCAATGATGCGAGCATTTTTTTCCAAGGGTTACGAAGTGGGCGGCGCGCCAACAACAACGGCAACCAAAACAACCTGAAAAGCGTGAACGTATTCATCATCATCGTCGTCGTCGTCATCATCATCATCATCATCATCATCATCATCATCATCATCAGCATCATCAGCACCATCATCATCACCATCATCATCACCATCATCATCATCATCAGAATCATCATCGCCTCCTTTGGCAAGACCAACTTTCAAGTATTGTTTGAGCATTTGTGCTTGATGGGCTTCTTGCGTGGGGCAGATGTTCTTAACGGCAGATGTTCTTAACCTTCGCAGCACTCAGCGTGCAGGAGTTGTCACTACTCGCTCTCTCCTATGCCAGGCAGGAGAATCGAAGCTTTCGTTTGCTCATGCTGCTCCGAGCCTGAATGCAATGACCACACCACCTTCAGGCAGCAAATTGGGCTTGGCTTCCACCAAATTTCCTGCTCCACAGGGACTGTAGAACATCCCTGCTGATCAGTGCACTGAATTTGAGGCTTTCAGATCCAAGCCGCGATCCAGTGTTCGATCGGATTGTGGCATCACTTACACCTCGCAGCCTGTCTGAACTCGCAAGAGGCATATTTTGGACCTGAAGTTTTGAAACCTTCCGCTTGGCTGAGGTATGAACCGAATTGACGACGGCCACACGCTGTCCCTTCTCGCTTGTGCTTTCTCTCGTGCCACAGTGAGGCGCGTCAGATTGATTGACGCATGCCAAGATGTGTTCTTTTGACAGGCAGGCTCAGCCGGAGGAGCTGGAGGATGCAGGCTCAAGCCAGCAACAGCTGTATGCCATTCTTGTTTGCGGGAGATCTGAGTTTCCTCCTCTTTTCCCAATCTTGGCAGGAGATTCCGTTTGACCGTGCGGCTTGTGCTTCCGGGTCTTCTGGCTTTGCACGGCCCAGGGGAGAAGGAAGAGTCCATCCAGCCTCTCTTCCTGCCAGAGGCCGCAACCTTTGGACGTCTAAGATTTGGGCAGACAATCAAAACCCGAAGTGAAGGTCAAGGGACGCATCCCAACCATAGGTTTGGATAATCGCCCCTGCTCCTGGTGGTTTGGTGGTACAGCTCTTTGGTCCTCTTGAGGGAGCGAACCATTTTGTCCGAAGCGCAATCATTGTTTCCTGAAGTAGGCAGTCTCCAATACTGGTGATCTTCTTCCGGTTCCGTTCAACGCCATCCAAGCAAGGGTCCTTGATTCCAGGACCTTCCCATACACGCAGGAGACAAGAAGTGCTCAAAAAAGACATGTTGCAGCCTGATGCCTGATTCCGATACTGATGGTTTTGTTACGTGCACCAAGCTTGGATGGTGATGGCTGAAAGAGCAAGAAACTGTAGGAGGCGGTTGCGGTATGCTGTAGTTGTTCAGCAGATGTGTGTGGTTGGTGGCGCAGTGTCACAGCTTGCTTGAATGGATGCAAGGCTGACGGCGAATGTTCACATCTGGCGTTCATAGAAATGTTGCTGGAGCAATGCCCGACCCTCAATCGCATTTTGCAGCTATGGTCATGGTCTCATGGACCCTCATACATGTTCCATGAGGTCAAAGGCACATCCTAGCTTTTCGTGGCTCTGATGTGACTTGGCTGCATCTTGTTTTAGTGCCTTTGGTTCGACTTACCCAATGCACAGTGCCCAACCTTATGAGATGCAGTACAGGATCCTTTTGGTGAGGTCACTCTGAACCTGTTCAAGGGTTGGGGTAAGTGTTTTCTGAGCGCCATTTGTCGTTTGTCATTTGATCTTCAAGCACCGGATTGTCCAAGCACAACCTGAGGGTGTCAAAGTCACGCCTGGGTGATAAGGGCTGCTTGCCTTACTTGGGATTTGTTCCCGCTCTCTTCTGTTTCCCCGCCAGCAGTTTTCGAGAGTACCGGTTTTGCACATGGGCTTGAAGGGAGAGCCAAGGGAAATCGCCCTTGTGGGTTCTCATATTTGGAGACACGGCCATGGCCGAGAGCAACATCTGGAGTTCTCTTCCATTTCGACTGCGAGGTTCTGCATTTGTGCTTGGCGCTGGCCAATTTGACGCGCACGGGTCAAGGCGATGTGATTCCGTGCGGGTGCCAAGTTCTTGAGACAACTTGGACTTGGGACTTCGGGCCGCCCAAAAAAGAAAGCAGCTTGCGATGAAGGCGTCGGGGATGAAACCTAGAGCAGCTAGCGACCCGCATGAAGTGAACTAGAGACTCCCATGAAGTGGATGGGGTGAGAAGAAACCCGCATGCAACCTCTTGGAACTTGTCCCTATCTTTGACTACAACCTCATGAGCAGATGAAGGTGGCTCCTAACGAAAGGGACAGTTGGCCGGCTCAATTGATCCAGTTTATCTGCGGAATCCTGCCGAATGCTGCCGAATTGCTGTGCAGCGAGTCTTGCCAGGGTCGAGCTTCAATTGCCAGCTACCCTACTAAGCGCCGAGTTGAAGCTCCCAGAATGAATGAGTAGGGACCATTGAAGGCTGTTTGGCGAAACATAATTGAGACTCATTATGTCCTTTGACAACCTGGAGAAGGCCAAAATGTACTGGCCTCTACATCAGAGGCACTCAATCAATCATTGGATCGTCGCACTGGGAGTCTGCCGGCGTCGCATCGAAGTGTTCGCAGGCCGCGGCTACTCCCCCGTTTGGCGAAGCGCCTTGACGCTGGGAATCCCAGATGAGGGTTTGCGCGAAATAGGAATCGGGCCCCTGAGGGTTTCCGGTAAATGGCGACCAGAAAATGGTCCACCATTTTGAGAACTGCTCAGATGGTTTCTTGGGGTCACAGGGGGTTCTCGCAAACAGCCAGCGCGGAAACTGGTGGATCCGCTTGCAAATGGAAAGCTTCAAGATATCTTCGGCGAGAAGTGCCATTTCGGCCCAGCGTTCTGTTCCAGAAGCATCCACGGATGCTGAGAATATGTTTTTTCCTGCTTGCAGGAAATGTGTCTATCTAAAATGTAGGGCCGTTTGGAGGGCTCGTTTTTTGATACACAACTAAGTTTCAGCATCTTTTGTTGCCTTGTACGGTAGTGAGCCTGGAATTTGCGTAGAGGCTATGATCCGCTCACAGAAACAGCCACAAAAAACTCTGGTTGGTCCACGTCAGCTGCCCACCCCCGTGAGGCCCTGTACTACGAGCTGCTGCCCGGACAGTTTGTCCGCTTCCTCGAGCTTTTCCCGTACTTGCCGGAGCTTGAGGCTGGCCGGACTTCATGTCCAGACGATAGAAACTCGGGCCTCGCTCTTTTTCTCCATTGGTATTTGATCGCTTCTCCGGGTTTCGAACTTCAATGGCGCTCTTCTTGCTGCCATTGGGTGCAGCAGTGCGGGGCGGCGTGGACGTGGACATTCTAAGCGAACTCTTGGAATTCGCAAAATAGCGTTTGGGCTGCAGCACGAACACACGAAGAGCATAGGGGTCCCTTTTTGGTTGTTTTGGTAGAAAATTAGATGGCCCTGGTTTACCTGGTGGTTTCATCATCTACCAGGGAAATCCATCTATTTGCCCTAAAAGGACACCTCTAGCGAAGAGTGGTCCTCACCTACCCCCCATGGACTTTGGTTTTCACCACAGGGAAATCAGGTCGCCGAGCCGCCGTGAGCTCAGCCCTGTCAGGAATCCTGTGGTCCTCGCATCCTGGACGAGTTGGCCTACAGGGCCAGGGAAGTGATGCCAAGGCTGGGCAGGCGAGTTCATTATCCTATCATTTTCATCATTATATTCATTATCGTGTCCGTCATTATAAGGACAATTATCATTATCATCATCAGAACTATCGGCATTGTTGGTCTTATCCTTCTTATCAGTGAAAGCAAAAACACATTGCTGTCACTAGCAATATTGTTGGCAGTATTATCGTCATTCTCACTAGTATCAAGGTTGTCAATAATATCATTGTGGCCATGATTGTCACAATCCTTATTATTGCTTCATTCGTACCGTCACTGTTACTATTTTGTCACTGGTACCGGTGTTATCATGATTGCCAGTACCATCTTTGTTGGCATTGTGAGCATTATTTGCAATCCTATCATTATTAGCATTAGTAGCCTTGTGAGCGTCGGTATCATAGTTTTTAGCAATCAATATTGTTATCATTGCGTCACTAGTACTATCATCATCCTGAGTATCATTTTTGTTGTTACAAGTCCGCTGTTCAGGTCGTGCTTGCCCATGCTGCGGGCGGCCTTCAGACTGAAGCATGCGGGGGTCTCGGACAGAAAGCCAGATATGTGTGACAGGTTAAGCCACTTTGGTGGCTTTCGTTTCGTTTCCCTAACCCCCAAAAAGGTCGCCCCCTCCAAAAACCACATACCCTTCAGAGAGCTCTTTCGTTTCGTCGCCCTTGAAACCGCCGAGCCACAGAGAGCTGACGCCGCACGGTTGTTTTTAGGCGCGCGGCCAGTCCATCGCCGCCTGGCGCCTTACGCGCAGCGATGCCAAGAGCACATTCCTCACGCCTGCGGAGACGTGCCGGGGCCCTTGGGGAACTGGGTGACATGGACGACGAATCCAGTGCTTTGGTCCCTGCGGGAACAAAGTTCATATCTCAGGGCGACCGCGGTCCATTCCATCAAGGTTGCCAAGCCAATTGGTCACAGCATGAATTTCAGAGCCGGTTGCTAATCGGCAGGCATTTGAGAGCCCCCGGTTGCTACTTGTGCCAAGTCTTAGGCCTGGAAGATTTGTGCGATAGCGAGTCATGTCTGAGGCGAGGTGGCCAGCATGCTGGTCCAAGTTGCAGTGCCTCAGAGGCGAGGACGTGGTTCCGGGCGGGCTGGGGCTCCGGGGGTTTCCGGAGATCCAGTTGACCCTCTCTTCAGCAGTCCAAACCCGGTTATGAAGGAGAAGGCACCGCCCCAGCCAATAGGTGTGGACATTTTTCGGCACTTTTGATTCTCATGTTGGGCCCTCTTTCGAGGCTTGAGTGTCCAGTTTGTGGGTGTCTCCACATGGGCTGCGCCGGAATGAGAGAACAGCATGCCGCCAACGTTGGGAGTGGATGTCTTTCAAACTCGTGCACTGCTTGGTTCCCAGGCATGTCCATCGTTTCCATTGAACCCACTCGGGGATCTGAGGACAACCCAGACTAGGTCGGATCCCCGTCAATCCATTTGAAGTGGCAACATGGGAGGCTGCCTGCTGTACATGCTGACACAGGCGATGGCAGAGTTGGGAGTTAGGAACGTCAGAAGCGGGCAATGAGAGCGGGGAGATGACATGCACCACGGACGTCAAATGGTCGGATCCCACTCGAGCAGTCAACTTTTGAAAAAGCGTTCAGGCGAAGCGCCGCAGAACCTGCTGTGGGAGGCAAGAAGCGCGGACACGCTATTTGAGATGTGACCCTGAACTTCGAACAGGGTCTGAAAAAAATGGAATGGGGTCGTGAAGGTTCTTACTAAACTGAGCCAATTTTCTTTCAGAGCATGGGAGATCATGTGCTTGGATATACTAAGCCCCTTGTATCGTTTTCGAAATTGCCGGGACTCTCGCACGAGTTCACGCCAAACCATCGTATTTTGTGCCTTTTCAGGCACCCATTGAACAGCATTGAGTAGCTCATCAGCACCGGGACAGTGCTGAAGAACTCAAATCCGACTTGGACGTGGAAGGCTAGAGCGGTCCTCCAGGGTTTTCGGAGTCATTGCAGGAAACGAGAATGGCTGTGGGTCAAAAATAGGTACCCAAAATGGAACCCTGGTAAATGGAAACATGGACTAAAACCGGCGGTCCCCTGGTGGTTTCATTTTGACCCACAACCAAATAGAAACACAGACGGACATGCCCAACAAGAGCCAGATGGGTCACCAAACAAAAAATACCGACACAACGCGAGCCTCAATCAAAATGGTACGTGAAGGTGAGGAGACAATCCCAACCACGAGCACCTGCGGCCGTGGCAATTCTTTGCCAACATGCATCAAGTTTTGAACATACCATGCTTTCTCTTCCAGGACCATTTTTTTTGGTACTAGTTTCCTTAGATTTTGTGTGGTTCACGTTTTTTTCTTCCCCAACCAACCTCTTCGTCTTCCACGTGTTTTTTCCTTTCTCGCGCGGGTCCTTATTCAGATCTGTGCAGGCCCGGGAGGCTCTGTTGATCATGCTCCAGGGCCTGAAGCAGCGGAACGTGGAGCGGGCTCGTGCCGTGTCGAGATCGGAGATCCGAGACCTTTCGACCCCGGCAGTTTAGTCTTGTGGGCGGTTTCTCTTTCTTTTTGGAAGCACGAGCATTGCAGAAAGGGGAACTCAAAGCAGACAACGCCTCGGAAAAGCCAGTCCTTAACACATGTTCACAGGTACGAAATGAGGTTCATACTGGCTAGACCCAGTGGTGGCTAGAACCCTAGTTTGAGGACAATTCAAATTGTAGCCTTCCCAATGTTTGCCTTGCCAAATTTCCCTGCCTCCCTGTCGCTGTCTTCGTGGAAGAGAAGAAGTTGCCCAAGGGACCCCTCTTGCAGCAACGGGTTTGTAGGGGATCTTCTGCCTTCCAGTTTGTGACTTCACAAGATTGGATGACTCATGGAAAGTGGACTTGAAGGAAATCGAAAGGACACGCGGTTTGACATGCCCCGCGGTTGGAGTCGAATTGTTTTTTGACTCCTGTACGAGTGCGTCACTTGAACTTCTCACGGCTGGTGTCTGCCTTGGCAGCCGAAAGAAGGACCACTGTCATTTGTTATTGAGGTTATGTTGCAAGAAGGGAGTTTCGCAGCGACCCCGAATGGCTGGTCTCCCTTAGGGTTTCCTATAAAGCTGCGGGTCAAAACTAATGGGATCCCATCTTGGGGTATATAGGTGCACCACCCATTTTAGAACCTATTATAGAGGGGATTGGGATGGGGGGGGGGGTACGGGATTTTAACCCATGGCCATAACATAACCCCCAAGCAGGGGAACCCTTAAGCCAAAGGCGAGCCCATTTCTAACTGGCACGACTTGTTGCGGCTGAAGGTGGTGTTGCTTGGACTCACAACGGCGGAGCTTCTCACCGGGATTTTTTAGAGCAATGGCTGGACATAGTCCCCTAGATGTTCAAAGGGTCGAAACCATCAAAACACACACCGGCATGTGTCTTTCTTTGCCCACTTCTTTTTCTTCTTCCTCCTCTTCATTTTTTCGGGGCTTGTTTCAAAGGGACGCCACCAAAAGAGACACCTCTGAACCCTCCCCACCCCTCCCCACCCCTCCCCACCCCTCCACCCCCCCCCCTTCCCCCCCGCCGCGCAGCCGCGCACGAAAGACGAGGAGCCCAAGCCTTCGGCGCTCTGCAGCCTGCTGGACTCCGCGGCCCTGCTGTCGGTGAGGGACACGCCGCTCGGATCGGAAGAGCGGGACAGACGTCCGAGGCGGCTCAGGTGTTTTTCTTCCTGCCATGGGGCTTTTGAGGGAACCCGTTGGGTGGGTTTAAAGGTTGAAACCAAAAGAAGTTTCGGGGGTCCACATTTGATTCTGATTCGGTTCACTTTGGCAGAACCCCCCCCCCAACCGAGCGAACGGGGCAAGTTCGCCGGCATTCCTTTTGGTTCCGTGCTCCATGCGATTGCTTGATGGGGTTGGGGTCGGGTTGAGAGCTGTCGGTTTGGGGAAACTTGGGGCATGTGGCCATGAAGCAAAGACTCGCTTCAGAGTGAAGCAGGAGCTGTTTCAGGCAGTCGCACGGGAGTTGGTGAATTCCACCCACAACAGGCGTCAGGCTGAAATGGGCTTTGACTGTCGACTTCAGGCAATGGTTCTACCTGTGCCAGAAGCTTTTGGCTCGGGGCCCAAGGCTGTGAAGCCAAATTGCTGTGATCTTGATAGGAATCCCTTGTATAACAACACGGATGTTCATCAATTCCCATTCTACGAAGCCAGCCACAGTACAGGCAATTCCGCACGAAGACCGCAATACCCAAGAAGCTTGCCTCCGGTAAAATGTCCAGCTGGTTTCTTGGAGCTAGGGAGTTCAAAGGGTGAGTTCTCAAACTCAATGCCGAACACCCGCCCGTGATCCGAGGCTCACCAACCAATTCTGGCAAAGCGGTCTCTAGGCTCCCCAGAGAGCCTTGGGGAATCCTTCGATGAGGCGAGCGATTCACCCTTCGCTTCTGGCCCGAAACAAGGCCTGCTACCATCAGATATCATGTGAACGGACAAATCCGTGACTCGATGATTTGTCTGGGGAGATAGGGAGCTACCCAGATTTCATCCGCGAAAACCAGAGGCGTGTTCTCTTGAAGAAACCGTCGTAGTTCTGTCCAGGGCTCATGTGCTTGGTCAGGTTAGCACGTTGCCAGATGGCTATGACATTCAGTCATGAACACCCTCAGACATGGTGGTTGTTATAACTCCCCCCCTCCCTCCTCCCCCCCTCCTCAATTTTTGATATCCAGCCGCATGGTCCCCAATTTAGATTGGACCCCAAGAGCTGCGTCGCCCACTTTTGGTTCAGGCAGACCTTGCCAAAGCCACGCTCGCGCTTGCGCGCCTGTCCTTCCCGCAGCTCATCGACGCTGGCTCGATGTTCTCCAGGCGCGATGGCGCGATCCGCGCATGTGCGTGGTTGTGGCTGGAGGCTGCCTGTTCTTCAGGTTGTCCTCAATTGGTTGGATTGGTGGTTTGGATTGGTGGACTTCCTGGTTCTTGTAGCGGGTAAATAGGACACCAACCCGCAACACCACCAATCCAAACTGCCAATTAGCGGAAGCTGATTTTTGGGGGTGGCTAGGGGGAAGCTGAAAGGACACCGTATTTAGGCTGAGAAACTCAGGCTTGGTCAACATGTTCATTAGTCTATCGTCCATTCGGGAGGCATATGGAAGAAGTCACAAGTCTCCACAAATTCAGGGGACACGCCCCCAATTTGTCCATGTTCTCTCGTGATGACCTTATTGAGCCTAGGGTTCCAGCCTTTTATGACTTAAGGTTGAAGGTTGACAGACAAACCCCTGGCTCCATGTTCCTCCTTCATTTTTCCTCCATCTTCCTCCATTTTTCCGCCATCTCCCCCATTTTTCTTCCAGGTTGATTGCCCCCCACGGGCCACACACCCCCACCGATCCCATGGAGCGCCGTGAGCGATTGGAACGCCAGGGCGGCCGCGGTGAGATCGCCGCAGGCGGCCTCCGCAGTTCTGGAGGCGCGGATCGCGGAGCGATCATAGACGTTCTTTGTACGTAGCTGATTTTGGCTGGGGAAATCGCTGGGCTCCATTGGTTTATGGCTTATGGTGGTTTTATTCCATTGACCAGGGAGACCCATCTATTTTCAACCAAAAAGACACCTATGGGAATGAGCCCGTGATAGCCCACGCCCTGTATGTGGGTTTCCTTCAAGGGAATTTGTAGGTTTGTTCCCAAACGCGTGGGTTCCCTACCCATCGCACCAGCGATCTTTGGGCTCAGGCAGCAGCGATCTTCGCGTTGACGGAGCGCAAGCCGCAGGAGAGGGCATAGACATCTTGGAGGCTCCCAGCCATCCGGTTCCTTGGCATTTCAGCTGTTAGGGTTCAGCGGGGACTTCCATTTAACCCCCATCCGGTTCCTTAGCTTTTTAGATCGGGTTTAGTGGGGATTCCATTTAACCCACGAAAAGTTATCAACTTTTGGCAGGGGATCTGAGCGCAGCCCAGACATGGCGTGGATTTGTTTTTTTGCGAGCAAATGGAACAGGTCAACGTTGATTGATCGAGTTTGTTGGCCGGGCGGATTGCTTGGTCAGTTGCTTGGTCGCTTATTGGCTTGCTCGTCTAGAAAACGGTTTGGATGCGCTTTTTGTGGATTTCACCGGTTCTTCCCCTTGGCCCTTTTTTAGTACTCTTTTAGTACTCTTTTCATATTCTACCGGGGTGGGTCCACAGATGTGCCGCATCCGAACCGTATCATAGAGCTCTGGTCGGTTGGGTCAGATCCGACGGTCGCGAGGACCTCTCGGCGGCGAAGCTGTCCCCCTTGGTGCTGGCAGTGGACGGCGGTTTGAGGACGCCCTTCAAATCGCGGTTGGCAGGTTACTCGAGCAAAGGACCCAGCCAGAACGCAGGTTTTCAGTAGGTGTCTCAAGATAGGGAACCCCTAAAAAGGTGTGTTTCCGTTTCTCCATTCAATATTTTTTACTTCAACCCAACCCCAAAACGAATTCCCTCAAAAAAGCCATGCCAGAGTGAAGGGAGTTTGGACGTTGGCAACTCGCAGCCGACCCCAGCGCAACGACAAGACCCACGTCAGAAGTATGATCCATTATACATGCCATGTTTTTTCCTCAAGAGCTCCAAGAAGATAAGCGCGTGTTCTGCTGTAGCCCGACACTGGGCAATGCAAGTATAACGAAGAGGGCTGATGCGCGTTTCCGACAGGGAGTGCGATGCCTCAAGGGTGTCCACCCATAGCTATCATGTTGCATTGTGCGATAATTTGCATTTGGTCTCGCTGCAGATTTTCAAATCGCTTGGGTGCACTATGTCAAAGCACCTTCCCTTCTCAGCACAGGTGTCATATCCCTTGTTCTTTGCAAATCGTAGCCATTGCTACACTCCTTGTTGACATGAGCGAGATCTTGTGAATTGGATGACACTGGCCAGATGACTTGCCGACCCTTGGCCCTTTCGCAGTTGCTGCAGCTGATGCTCTTGTCAGAACTTGAGGGCAAGCTATTTGGAGAATCCTTCCAGCCTGAGCCTTTGGTTTCCATGTAGGCGCAATACTAGAGGGGACCCCCAAATGCGCCTGGTTTCCTTTTGGGGTTCTCTGTGTGTGTGTGTGCGGCCCAGCTGAGAGAGACTCTGCAGCCACTGATGCGACAGGAGCCAGGATGAGAAAGAGGCCTGGGGATGTGAATGGACATTCCTACCCAAAAGCATCACTCGAGCAGCTCGTCAGACACATCACTCAAGCGGGGTGTCAACCCAAACATGGGTCAAGGACACAACTTTTTTTCTAAGCTAGAACACATCATGCCAAGGGAAACTCGCCCAACACATGGGCCAAAACATGGCTGTTTTCCATTACACCTACAAAAGGTTAGACATGTAGCTGAGGGGGGAAGAACGACCCAGAAAAGTCATGTTTGAAACCTGGAAAAAGGGACATCTAGAGTAGGACCTCTGATGGATGGGAAGATTGCAGAGCGAGACAAGGTTGGAAGATGACACTCAAACTTTACGCTTGTCGAAGATCATGTTATTAGCCCTTGGTTTCATCCAAGATATTGCACCTATGGAAACTGCCACCAAGCCAGTATCTATTATCTTGAAACAGCCTTCTCAGCATACCCTTCTTTTGTGTTTTTCAGGGTTTTTGAGGGATTAGCCGAGAGTTCTGTAGCATTGCTCTTCTGCCACGCTCCCATCGGGCTCGAAGAATGGCGACAGTTTTTTTGCATGCTCCCCCAAGGAGGGGGCTGGGTTTCACTCAAGAGCTATGAGCTGCCATGAACGGGGAAACGGACCCAACACCGGAGAGCCTGGGAGTGGAGCTTTTGTGGAATGGTGTGCAAAACGGTCACCCTGCGTAGTGACCACTTCAAGGGGCAGGAGAGCCGGAGTTTGGGTAGCCTCCATTTCCAAGCATTTGACCGTTGTTTTGGGGCATGTTCAGTTTTCCTGAAACATTTTAAGTGTTTAAGGCAAGTTCAACATACCCCAAAATCTGGGATTTCGGCTCCCGGGTGTAAAATATTGGGATATGTTAGATTTGCCTTGAAAACTGGAGGTAAGTAAAACTGAGTATACCGCAAATCTTTGTCAGGGAAGCACAACATGTTGTGCCCAAACAGCACGAGCGACTTTCTCATGGTGGCCTTGTGAGTGTGCCAACTACCCTTAAATCCTAAAGCCCCTGCTATGACATATATACCCCAAAACCCAAATAGCCAGTTTGAGAAATGCAAAAAAGAACACAAACAGGAACGGTCTTGGGTTGGAGTATGCTCACAAGGCCTGTTGAAAAAAGCTTAGAAAGATCACATTGCTGGCCGAGATGCGCTTGTTTTATGTTCTGGTGAATGTCCGCAATGGAACAAGGGAGGACCCTTCCCATCGGGAGTTTGATCAGTGCAAAGGGAAGGGCAAGAGTTAATGTCCTTATCTTTTCACAAACATTGCGACTTTCTTCCAACAAGACTTGCTGACATTTTTAGCGCCCAAGGCCTGTACCAGTCGAAACCATGGCATCACTCGGGTCACTCACCAGCATGGCATGCTTTGAAACTTCAAGGAGATTTGTTCCAGTCCCAGGGAGCCGTCAAGAGTTGATCAGCCTCACCCAACCAAGCTCTGGCAATATCGTCGATTGGAGCTATCGGGGCACGGCGAAATAAACCGGGGAACACCCACATGGATCTTCACACTGCCTGGGCCGATCTGCCTTTGACCCTTAAGGCGGAGACCCTGCCGCGCCTCTTTCCCTTCTCTGGGATCCTGGCAGCCCAGGCCACCGGAATGCACCCGATCTCAAAAGGGCAGAGTCAGAACAAGGCGTCAGCCCCTGTGCCACTTTTTGCGGGGCTCAAACCAGGTGGACACTCCTTCTTTGCGGCATCCGTCGGTGCTTGGGCTTGAATACTTCAAAACGCTCCGGGGGGGGGGCTGCCTTTGCGTCAAGAGCCGGCTTATTTGCGGAACACGAGAAGTGAGCGGTTCAGCTAACACGAGAGGTGAGCTGTTCAACTCGCATCGATGGCTTGCGGAAGATGCTTTTCACTACCATGCGCCTGCTGGTGAAGACTCGCAGAAGAACAAGTATTGCACATTGATGCACTTCTGTGCACCAGAAGGGGGGCCTGTCATCCATGCATGAGAGCTAAGTACGTTTGTTGCAGGCGTGTTTGTCTGAATCTTCTTTCAATTGCGGACTCATCTTCTTTTCGGTAAAAAACAGAGCCTCACGGTGCCGCGACGCCGTTCTCGCCCAACGCTTCCAAGGGGTTCAGGGGTTGTTGTTCCAATGGCCGTTCTAGTTCCAATGGCCGTTTAGTAAGGGGTTCAGGGGGAACCTTAGTGGAGATTGTAGTCACCTGTACCCTTACAACCCTACCAAGCGTCAGGCGGCCGACCCGGAGGCTCGCCGGGAGCATTTTTTTTTTTGAGCGAGCTCCGCCGGGTTTGAAAACCATGTGTGGGTTTTCCTAGGTGGCTATGAGTTTTTGATAGGGAACCACTTCAAAAGTGGTTGGTGGACAAGAATCCCTTTAGGTCCACCAAAACGCCCCTGATTAGTATGCATACACACCTGGGAAAGGGTGACCATAGTCGTTTGTTTCTGGCTCGTCTTGTGAGGCGTGTATGTGTTGTTTGTGAGAATGGATCCGATTGGCAATCGCAAGTGCAACACTGATGCGACATTGGAGAAACACATGGTCGATTCCGGAAACAAATGTGCTAGCTTGCATGGTCGCTGGGCTTGCCCTTCATATGTTCCGGGTCATGACACACAGATCCTTTTAAGAGTAATGCTACACTGTGTGTGTGTGTGTGTGTGTGTGTGTGTGTGTGTGTGTGTGTGTGTTTGTGTGTGTGCTTGTGTCTGTCTCTGTGTGTGTGTGTTTCATAGGGTTCCCTTCTCATGTTGGTTTTGAAGGAGGTCCCCCTACTTGCACACAACCCCACATGTAGTACAGGTAGAGACAAGCAAATAAAGACTTGGCCGCCCGAGGCTGCCTCCAACTGCTGCTAGGTTGTTGTCGGTGTTCGAGCGGCAACTTCAAAGCAGTGAAGCCGTTGACCACACTTTGAGCTACGAATGACTTGATGGTTCGATAGTTATGGAGTTCTTAAGGGGGGGGGGTGTAAGGGGGGGGGGTAATTTGAAAGCCCCAAGGCTCCCTAGCACTTCCTGGAGCTCCTTAGCAAACCCTAGCGCTCCCTCCCCAAGGACCCCTAAAGGCCCCTAAAAGATTCTTAGCCTCCCTTAAGCTCCCCAGCCTTCCAAGATTTAAGGTCGTTGGCCCCAGGGCTTTTCGGAACCCCTCAAAGTGAGTTCCCCAAAGTGAGCCCCAAGTACAGGGTTTACCGAAGTTTTTCGGAACCCCTCAAAACCCTATTCCCTAAGCTTCCCTAAGGCTCCCCCTTCCCTAGGCTTCCCTAAGCTTCCCTAAGCTTCCCTAAGCTTCCCTAAGGCTCCCTAGGGCTCCCTAGGGCTCCCTAGGGCTCCCTAGGGCTCCCTCGTTTGCGTGCGCGTTCGTGTTAGTGTGTGTGTGTGTGTGTGTGACTCTGTGTGTGTTTGTGTTTGTGTGTGCGTTTGAGTGTTTGGCGAAGAGCTTTGGGCGGGCAAGCGGCTAAGCCGGATGAGGGCTGAGCCGGATTCAGTATTTGAACCCTAGGCCTCCCTAGTCCACGCCATTTACTCAAATTTACCCCCCCCCCTTACACCCCCCCCCTTAAGAACTCCATAAGATAGGCAGCGAATCAGTTGCAATGACCCATCGCCTGTGGTTTCCGTGAAAGGGGACTCCCCAAAACTGGGGTTCTCAGCATGGAACCAGTTGCAATGAACCCTAAAACCCATCACCTATGGTTTCCCTGAAAGGGGTATCCCCCTGCAACCGGTTCATTGAAATCCACCACCCGGAAGCGGCTGCTTCCCCTCTCGCAACCAGATGACGCAGAGCGCAGGTCCTCGCCCGCTGGCGATCCGCGGTATCCACGGCCACAGCCATGGCTGCAGCCTCCCGCGGGGCTTCGCCGCATTTCCAGGACTTGGTGCTTCAGGACGGGTGCAAAAGTGGGGCGTGGCCCGAAACGTGGAGACCTGCCAAGGCAAGCTGAGCATTCTTTACTTCCGCCTCGTTTTTTGATCTTCTTCACGGCCTCTTTCCTTTATTTTTCCCCTGCTGGGCCGAGCATGTGGGACGTGGTGCCAGGCAAGCTGAATCTCTTCTTCACAGCCTCTTTGCTTTTTTTTCCTGCTGGTCCGAACATGTGGGACGTAGCTGTGTTTTTTTGTTTTTGTCAGGAGCCTCGCTTCTTTTTTGGGACATGTCCGTCAGGAGCTGTCGACTTGGGAGGTGGGATTGGAGACTGATGTTGTTGCAAGGCCCTCAGAGCTCGCCAGACCAGACCAGACTGCTTTGACTGTCTGCCTTGCGCGGTGCGGCGGTTTTTGCGGTTTGCTGAAGGTGGGGCCAATGACGGTGCCTTTCGCCCTGAGCCTCGTGGAGCTTGCCTCCTTTGTAAGGCCGCTGCTTTTCGGATCGATCCCGAGATCGCGACAAAATCCGACAGGCGGCAAAGGACGGCAGATTCCGACTCTGACATGGAGGATGGCTCTGCTCCGGAGGCCTGTTGGGCTGAGCGGTAGCTCTCATGTTGGTTTCCATTAGCCCGAAAAAGGGTACCCCTGAAAGCAACTTGCTGGTGCGACAAGTAGGGAATGAGAAATGGAACGAACCTGGGGCTCCCCTTAAAGGAAGCAAGGGATGATTTTGTTCGGGGTCCTTCCATTTCTCATCGCCTGCCGATCGCAGCAGCAAAAGAGCCGCGGTCTGTCTGTGACCAGGCTGAGGCCAAGTCGACCTTGCAAGCCAAGAGGCTGGCTCGTCGGAAGCGGCAGGCGCGGGGATCTCAAGTTGAGTGGCGGCTGGCTCGTCGAAAGCGCCAGGCAGCTGCCCCCAGGAAGCAGGAGAGGGCGTCAGTTGCAGCGTAGGCCCCTGTTTTTTTTTTAGCTGGCGCATGTGTTTTTTTTGATTTCTCTCGCGGCTGTTTCCTTGCGAAGGTGTTCCAGATCCCTCTGAAGTGAGGCATCTCCGCATCAGTAACACGGGGTGCCAATTGGACAAACAGGACACTTTCATTGCCGAAGACGAGATTTCGCTGGCGAGCTTGAGCTCAGAAGCAAGGCCCGAGATGCATGCTAGGTCTGCGAGGTGCGTTTCAAGACTGAAGCCAGGCACAAGGAACGAAGTGTTTTTCCGTAATTTCCGAGAAAAGATCTTGGTGGACAAGGACATGGTTTCCTTTGGCTTACCTTTACCTTTCTGTGGCTTCCTTTAGTTGCCTTGTGCTGTTTAACCCCCTTTGCCCAGCCCCCAAACGAACCCATGAATGGTAAGTGAGGTGATTTCGACACTTCGCCTTCACAAAGATGGCTTTCTCAAGCGCGCTGGCAGGCCTGAGACCCACATTCTGATTGACCTGCTGACGGATGTCGACTTCTACCACGCTTCTCCCTCGCCGGGTCCCAGTTTGATCCATTGAACTTTGGACTTTGCGATCCCAGGATTTTCTCTGCTTGCCTTTCAAATAGGCAACGATCAACATTGCCATTGGCTGACCAGGGGTTGTCTCTGCTTGCCTTTCAAAGAGGCAACGCTCAACATCCAGGGGCTGGAGGCGGCCCATTTTGACCCTTGAAGGTTCTATCGGGAAGAGGCCGGTTCCTGCGTCCAGGGCGTTTTTTCCGTGCAGTCGGTTTGCATGCCCTGAAGCCTCGGTACGGGACAAAAAGGCGAAACGACCTGGATTGGCATGCCACCCCTCTTCAATCTTTACATTGTACATGCATCATATCATGTTTCGTTATGTTGTGTGAGTGTGTAATGCCATGTACTGGCATGACATGACCTGTACTGCCATGAAATGCAAGGTAATGCAATTTTATATGTGATGTGAGCAATTGAACTGCAGTATGCTGCAATGTCTGTGATGCCTGTAATACATGTAATACATGTAATGCATGTAGTACAGGTACTGCATGACATGTAGACCATATTACACGTACTAAAGCTATGTATCCAGCCCATGTGCGATTAGCGCAAACAGTGGAATCTGTAAATGTATTGAAATTAGAAGACTCAACGTGAGATGATTGTAGGTTCTTCTGGCAACTGAAGCCTCCGTCAACGGGAAGGCTTGGGAACGAATCCAGTTTCCAAGCAGGGCCTCCTGCCGTTGGTGCAGGGCTTTCACCATGGCTTTCACCATGGGTGGTTTTTCTGGGTTGGGACGAGTGGAGTGATTTCCCGTGGGGTTTCCTCTTCAAGGAAACCGGTTGGGGCGGCCTGCAAGGGGGATTGTATAAGAGTTTTGAACGGCCAAATAGAGTCGAAAGCAGACTATAGGAGATCCAGGACATCCCTGGGTTTGAGTGGAGGTTTGGCCATTCTTTTTGTAGAACCAATCCGGTTTCGCTGGTTTCTCATCCGGTTTCGCTGGTTTCCTCCCTTGAAGTCACGCGGTAAGGCAGGGAGAACGCCGAACCGGGCGGCAGCTCTCTTCCGAGCCTTGAATGAAGTGGATGTGGCGCGTGGGGGACCCTTTTCAGGGTTTGAATGAAAGGAAGGCCGAGGGAACCACTCATTTTAGTGGTCCCGGGCTTTGAGCCAAACCCTAGTGGCCCGCCCAAGAGTTCAAGAGTTCCATTTGGCGTAACCTTCAGCCGGACTTTTACAAAATCGGACGTCGATTGGGCTTCAGTCCGGGTCAAGCACTTGGACTTTGCTCCCTTTGCCGAACCATGCCCACAAGTGATGTCCACCAGAGGGTCTCCAATCAACATGAACACGAGAGTTCGTCCAAAGGCTCCGCAGGTTCTGCATGCCTGCGAGACCCCGGGGCTTCTGGTTTCCTTCTGGCCTGTCTTGAAAGCACGGGAGCCCAAATACAGCTGGTCAGAAGCTGTGTTTTTTCCAACTGGTTTGCTGTGTCATATGCTGAAATCCACCTCCGGTGGACCGGGATGCTCATTGACTCAGGAAAGAAGGCATGTTGCAGCAGGTTTGCATGCACCGGTGAAAGGGATGCGTTGAGGGCTTGCAGAACCGTTCAATGGGGACCTGCCCTGCCGAGCTTTCATGGGTTTCAATGGGGACCTGCCAAGCTTCAATGGGTCAGTTGAAGTGGTTCCGTTGTTGTTGTTGTTTTATTTTTTTATTTTTTTAAACCTCGGCAGGACTTTTTGGTGATTTCCCTTTCAACCACCCGTGCGAAGGCCTGGGCTCGGGGCCTTTGTTCGGGTCAAGAAAGTTTAAACCTTAGGGGTGCTTTCAGCAAACAAACACACACACACACACAAAAACAATCAAACAAACAAACAAACAAACAAACAAACAAACAAACAAACAAACAAACACACACACACACACAAATAATAATACCCAAACACAATTTGGGGTCCCGGTGTCCCGAAACGAAAGACGTCTTGAGACGCTGGACAACAGGGTTCTGCTTCTGGGTACCGCCCCTCAGGAGAGGCGGGCGGAGCTTCAGCTCTTGCGACGTTTGGGCTGGCATGTGGTGTGCGCGGGAAGCTCAGCGAAGGAACTGATTCAGAAAGCAAAACACTTCTGAGCAGGTGAGCAATTCTTAGTTGGTCCTTTGGATTTGTAGACGGTAAATGGGGTTAACTCCTCCAATTCACCACCAAACCACGGGGCTTTGGATCCAATCCACTCTTTTTGAGGGAAGCTTATCTGAGCCACGTCAAGATCTGGGTGATTTTTGCACAAGGAGATGGTATGCTCATGCCAGCCTGCAACAAGCTTGATTTCCCTTTCACTTCTTTGCAGAAAACCGACCAAAAGTCAGGTTCCCCCCTCCCCCCCGATAAAAAAACACAGACTCCCAACTCCCTTTTTCTTTGTCTGTGGATTTTGCCCAGGCCGTAACTCCGGGTCTCTGCTTAAGGTGCCCGAGCATAGCTGGCAACTCCATGGCGACTCGGAGGCTGCCGAGGACAGGAATCGAACCGCAGCCGTTAGTCCTTGGTTTCAGGAATACCAGGGCATTCTTGAATTACAGCCATGTGAGTCAGCATCAAAACCCAGGTAACCGGGAGGGTAAGGGGCAATCAAAGACAACCCGCCTGTTTCATTTCTTACATGGGTCCGGGCAGACCATTGTAGTAACGGGTTTGACTATGACTCATGCGTGGGGGCTTCTCAAACTGGATTTCGGACCCCTTTTGCTTGGTTTTTCAGGGGAAGCCAAAAGCACACCAACCATTTAGGCGGCCCCCCTTTTAACAGCATTTATCTGACTCCTATATCGAGAAACAGATTGTGCAAAGCAAGGCCAAAGCACTCATATCCCTATAGACTTTCCTCCCACTGGCCCGTTTGGCCTTGACAGGCCAATCGGGAGATGATCTTCAAATTGGTGGCTGATACAGGCTGGAATCCTTGCCAGAAGGTTTACCGGCTTCCCGGTTTTTGAACGGTCTTTCTAAACACATTCCCTAAGCAGCAAAGAGTTTGCGCAGAAAGTCCACTTGTTTGGTCAAGGGATGTGCTTGAATGAAGCTCTTGGCCGTCGCCAATGTGTGCTGGTGGTTGCTTCTCCTCCGCGCGGAAAGTTGGGGCTGGGACAGAATGTGCCTGTGCGTTTTGAAGGGAACACCGGTGACCGAAGAAGCATTTTTTTCGATCATCCGCGAGATTTGCAATAGACCTGTGAACGGCAGGGTTTGTGCTCAAGCCGGAAGCCGCAAAGGCTTAACCTTTTTCCGCGCTTCCCATGAGCACCTCCCATTTGTTTTCAGCAGCTGCTTTGGGCTTCGCGCATCAGACGAATGTCATACCGAAAGGGGGTCCAGTTTGAGACACTCTAACGGAGCCTCTTGAACTTACTTGAACTCCCTTTTCTGTTTTTCTCTGTTAACGCAGCCGCCTTCTGGCCTCATTATTTTAGCATCAAAGCCACCCCCTAAGGGATGGGCTAAAAAGAAACAGCCCCATTTTCTGACTTTGACAACCCCTAGAAACGCTCAGAATGACCCCAGTTCTGGGCTTCCCTTTTTTTCTGGCAGGCCCGAACTCGCGGGTTTCGGGCCATGGCCATGGCCGATGAGAGCTGCAAAGGCCGGAGCCATCCCCGAGCTCGGGGCCCTGCTGCCGCTGGGCCCATCTCCGAGGGCCGAAGAGGTGGACGAGGCGATCAGCCCATTCTTCGGGCGCTGGAGGCGGCGTCTGATCTGTGTGGGTCAAAATCGAACCGGGAATCGGACCGCAGGTCTTGGCCCATGTTTCCACCCAGGGTTCCATTTGAGGTACCTATTTTTGACCCGCGGCCACTTTTTGTTTTTTTTTTTTCGCGACACAGCGGGGCGCTAGAGCGCTACTAGGTCCGCCCAGCGATTGGCGCCCTTTCTCACCATTTCTTTTTTGGTTGGGAGGGGTCTCCCTGCTAAAATAGACTACGGAAAAAAAGGTTGGTACCCTTATTCTAACCTCTCTATTGGAGGACCTAGCGCTTCCTTTCGAACCTTTTTTGCCGCGCTGGACCAAACTTCTCATAATTTTTTCCCCCTGCGCCTGGGCCTAGCTTGTCAACTGCGGACTTTGGGAGCTGAGCTTTGAACACTCAAAGCTTTGGCGCGCGGTCGACCTGCGTTCGACTCCGGGCTGGTCGTGCGGCGCAGAGTTGCTCGAGCGAGTCCCAGACCCTTGCCGAGTCTGCAAGATTTCTTCCCAAGCGCTTCTACTTCGGAGCTGGAGCGCGAAATTTGCAGACTTTCTACATGTCATAGCCTTTACCTTTCAGATCTAAGACCCGCTTCTTTGGGCAGAGACCCCAACTTCCAAGTCTCCAATTCTTCGCTAAGCGAGTGGTCTTCGGGCTTTTGAAGCCCTCCGAACGACCCAGCTTCAGTCAGCCGTGCGCGTCGGGCGCGTAGCTGAGCCTTTGGGGGGGGGGGAAAAATACATAAAATGGCACTTGTAGCATCAAAACCAAATAATCAAACAGCATACAACAAAATCAGCAAAATTCACAGAAAACAAGATAAGAACCACCAAGCAACTCAAAAACCAGAACAACCCCCAACAAAATATTTAATCAAAGCATAAAACATTAAATAATTCAAACAAGCATACCAACAAAACAGCAAAAATAAAAACCATCAAAGAACCCAATCTCAAAAACACACAAAATCAAAAACAAAGCAACATACCATCAAAAAATATCAGAAGAGTATCAAACAAAATAAAATACAAACAGCCAAAGCACGAAAAAATCAAAAGAGCATGCCAAGTTCAAACAACGCACTTTGAAAGAGTCAGCCAAATTAAGAAAAAACAATATTTCAATCTTTACAAACTATAAGTACAGTATAATTATAACATATAAGATTTTACATGTTATTATTATAGTATGATTACAATTTCAGTACAGGATAATAATTTAATTGACAAATCTTTCTTCTTTCATACATCATTTTAAAAATAATATTAATATCTCTCAATGTATTTTGAATATTGAACTTTTTACTTTCAATAAATAATTTGATATTTTCTTTAACATCTTCCCCTTTCTCTTGACTATATCCCAACATCCATAATATATCATAAATCATGTCATATTTTTTCTTACTGATTTTAAGAAACTGTTTAACATAATCATAAGGTGGTATTTTATTTACAGTTAGAAATATTAAAATCTCATCTTCTACATTTCTATTATGTCTTCCTTTTATTCTCAACAGACATTTGATTAAAAATTGATTATCTCTCCATTCCTGGCAATTTTCACATTCGACTTTTTCATCCATTGAATAATTAATAATATTATTCAATATTTCATTAGGTAAGTTCAATTTATACAATTCCATATTTTCTTTTTTGAAATGACAACAATCATAGCATTTTTTTATTGATATAATTATTGATTTTATCACCGTTCATTTTCCTCTTATTATATTAAGGCACTATTTCTTTAAGTCATTTTTAAGGCATTAAGAAAAAATAAGAAACAAACCATAAGTATAGTATAATTATAACATATAAGATTTTACAATGTTAATTTATATTATAATAACATAATATAAATAAACAGCAGTCGCCCCAAAAAAGGGGGAACAGTCGCCCCAAAAAAGGGGGAACAGTCGCCCCAAAAAAGGGGGAACAGTCGCCCCAAAAAAGGGGGAACAGTCGCCCCAAAAAAGGGGGAACAGTCGCCCCAAAAAAGGGGGAACCCCACCTAATTTCAAAAAAACATGCTGTTTTGTCGTTGGATGAACCTAGAAATTTCAAGTTTCAAGCCCAACCCCAAACTCAAAATCCTTAATCCGTCAAACTCACCAAGATTTCACTAATTAATTCGCTAGGTAGTTTATATAAATCTTCCTGCTTATGTATTATTGGATTGTCTCCCCAATTTTCCTTGTTTCCATTTGGCAGTCTCTGCACAGTTTCAATATGTTTATTATTCCTGATGTTGCCACAATCCTTTTTACATAAATCTTTAGGTTTCCAAGTTGTAATGTTATTCCATAGCCTAGTGCGTTTTCTGTAATTAAATCCATATTTACAATAATCTACATCTTTAAAATCAAACTCATCCATAAACTCCTGATTTTTTAATAATCCAGTTTGAGGATTTTCGATTACAAAATACTTAGGATTGAAATATTTGATAATTTCAATAGTTTTTAAAACTATACTATTAGCATATTCAATGTTTCTTATTCCCCTAGTTTTTGCTATGCTGTATTCAGTGCATGGGGGACTACTCCAAATAAAATCAAAATGGTTCCTATCAAATTGTTTATAATCCCATTTCAAAATATCAGTATTTATATCAGCATTTTTCAAATCCAATGAAATAACATTGAAACCGAGCGACTTTGCAACAAGTCCAACACTACCTGTTCCGCTAAACATCTCTAATAAGTTCATTATTAAAGATATTTAGATAATATTATCTATGAATAAACCCCCGTATCTTCATCATAGTCAATTTGATAAAATGTCATAGTTGAAGCCTTCGGTTCTTTAATTTCTTTGTTATTAAGTTTGTTTAAATAAATATTTCTTTTATTTTTATATTCACCATTGGTTCTATCTACTTCCTGACTTTTATAACTGTTTGTTAACGGTTTCTTCTTTTCCATTTCTTGCAAGATTTCTAAAATATTCTTATTCTGTTCTAAAACCTTGTTCAGTTTTTTAACAATCTTATCTAATCCTTCATCCATGTAAATATATACTAAATTATAAAACTAAACTTTTAAAACTAAATGTTTAAATTATGTTAAATCTACTCTTTAAATACTAATTTTTCATCATTTGTTTTACAGTTTCCTGAGTTTCCTTATCGCCATTATCGGATGGTGATGCATGCCTTCCCCATTTGATAGCAATATTATGAACATCTGTTTCTAAATTTAAATCACCGTCTTTAGTTTTATCAATATTCATTTTCTTATCATGTCTACTTATTTTGAAACTTGTTGGAATACACGAACATTTACAGTTTCCTTTCTTTTGTATTTCTAATTCATTTTTCATTTCTAAGATTTTTTTACACATTGGACAAGCAAACTCAATAACTGATGTTTCTTTAACAATTTCTTCTTTTTCTTCATCAGTTGAAGAAACAACTGATTCTGTCTTATTCTTTTTCTTTCTCCCCATCTATATTAATATTTATATTTTTAATATATTGTATCACAAACTTAATTAATTCTAAAATAAAATAACATATTTTTTTGAATCTATTATTAGTTATAACAACCCGTTCTATATTCTCTATTTCATCTATTATATCAATATAATCTGAATAACTTCTATTCATATAAAATAATAAATATTAAATTATTTTCTAAATGTCTTTAATATTATTTTTATTATGCCTGATGTAAAACCAATTGATGAAATCAAATATGACTTTAAGCAAAGTAAGCATGAGGTCGTCCCTAAATTGCCGATGAGAGCTATGATCGTCGGTCCATCTGGAAGTGGAAAATCAACTTTACTTGTATCAATGATACTTGATATTTATAGAGGAGCATTTGAAAGAATTTTTATCTGGTCTCCATCTGTAAATTTGGATAGTATTTGGTTGCCTGTTAAAAAATACATTAAAGAAGGTTTGAAAGTAGATAATGATAAAGAACCGTGTTGGTGGGATGAGTTCAATGTTGAAGATTTAGAAAGAGTTATAGAAACTCAAAATAAAATAATTGAATACCAGAAAAAACAAGGAACGAAGAAATTATTTAATATTTTGGTAATTTTGGATGATGTATCTGATAATCCAGCAATAACAAGAAATAACAAATTGTTAAATTCTTTATTTTGTAGAGGTCGTCATAGTGGAATATCAACACTTGTAAGTCTTCAAAAATCATCAACCGTACCACCAATTATT